CTTTATGCATAAAATACTTCTACAAATCAGTAAGAAAATAAAGCTCCCCCAACATTCACACACACAAAGGCAAAGGACATGGAGAAAAAGTTCAAAGAAAACACAATGGCTCAATTTCAGGGAGATGTTTAACCCCCTCATAAAAAGAGAAATGCATATCATAACAATAATGAAATATAACTTCTCACATATCGAACGAGGAGACATTTAAAAGTATGGTTAACTCCCTGGTTCAGGGAGGGTATGGGGAAGGAACAGGACCTCACGAATTACTGATAGAAGTGTAAATTGGTAACAAGATCTCTGTAGAGAACCCTTTGACCACATCTATCATAATAAAAATGCAGTCTGACCCTCCTCTTCTAAGAAAGTCATGTGTTCCAGGATTTCATTACATACTGTTTAATAGCAAAGACTGAAAACAACCTCAATGCCCCCTTAGTAGGTGACTAGTTGAATAAATTATGGCCCAGTCTTATAATGGAATACTGTGCCAACAGAAAAGAATGAGGGTTTCTCTCTGTATTAATATGCATCCATCTCCGATATAGCAGGGGGAAAAAGGGTATAGAACAGTGTATATGTTATTGTTTGTGAGAGAAAAATATATCAATGAAAATATACTTAGAATATTCCTAGAAGGATAAGTAAGAAACAGGTAACCATGGTTGCTTCTGAAGAGAGAAACCTGAGGCAGAGATGGCAAAAACATGTCTGCTTTCTGTCCCATGTGCATGCATTATTTATTACAGTCAATTTCTAAAAAATAGATATGCATAAAGATGTTCACTGTTGTGTTGTATATACTAGACAAAATAAAACACTAGAATGATCTAACAGTAGGTCATTTACTATTGTAATATTTTTAAAATATTACTATTGCAATGAAATTGTAATTATTTTTAATCCTAATTAAATTATACTGAGTCACTTTAAATAATTTCTAGTCTTGAGTACCAGGAAAAGAATATAAATTACTTTTCAGGATATTTAAACAACTCTCCGGTGTCTTTACAGGATAAAAGCCAGCAATCTTTGAGAATTCACGGAGAACAGAAAAATATCAGAAGACCGGATAGATGAGCATCTCAAACTTCCTATACAGAAAAAGAATGGAGCTTAGAAAGTTTAGATGACATTGATTTTTGGCAAAATTCTAGGGATTATCCGAGGAAGTGGTGAGCAAAACAGTGCAGAATAAACTATGCAAGTTGTTAAGAGAAATATTTTAAAATAAGCAGAGTTGTGGTTTCTTAAGCTGGACTAAAATCCCATAAGTACCTGAGACTCTGGGCTGCACAAGGAATGCTGGCATGGGACAGGGAAACCAGGTGAGAAGGGCTCCTGACCCACTGGCCTCAGTTCCCCCAGAGCTGCCCTCTAAGTGACTGTGCAGGAATTTATTCGGTTCTTTTTTTCAGGAAGGCACTGACAATATCTTTCAACATGTCTGGGAGATAAAATACAGCGCTATAAATGTCATCAGGAAGTTGAACACCAGGCTCTTGTACAGAACACCTGGCCCACTCAAGTGTGTGACAACTGATTTAAACTCCAAGATAATGCTCAGTGTTCACACTGGCCTTGGATTACTCAACATTCTTAATAAAAGGAAATATATGTGAAAATGTTTTGAAAAGTTTATAGGGCCACACAAAAGAAAGTTGGCATTATGATTATTATTTTGAATGCACTGCAAATTCTAAAACAGATAAAAAATACCAAGGACCAAGGCAAAAATAGAAAGATAAAAAGATCCTAATAGGAGAGATCTAATAACCTCAAACTATTAAGATGAAACCTATATCATGCACCATGTCACACAAGGGTAGGCTGAGAAAGCCCTGACATAGCACAATCCCATACAGGTTTGGCGACCATGGTCTCAAGATAATTAGAAGCATGTCATGTCTACTAAAAGCCTTAATGCATCAACTGTAGGCTCTGTTCATGGACACAGTGCCCATCCTTCTTCTTTTCTCTTTAGATGACACAGGGCCTGCCAAGTTGCATGTATTCTGGGTGCCATGCTTAAGAGACACACATGTCAAGTGGAGCAATCAGTATGGCATATTTTGTCATATATGGAAATGAGTGAAGGAGCTGGCGATTTCTCAGCCAGGAAAGAAACTACATACTTGGACATCCTCAAGCATCTGAACATGTATTTTATGAAAGAAAAAGAATAATTCAGAGGAACAAGATGCACAAGTAAGCATGAGATGACCCAAGTTATAGTCACCAAAAAACATGCCTCTCTGCAAGGAAGAGCAACTATGGAGTAGGCTGCCTGGTTAATGGGGGGTCCCTTCCCATTATGGATGGGATATCCATGCCAGGGATCTCATTCAGGAGGGGAGAGAGGTTTGTCAGCCTCAAGATCCCTTTTAACTATAATAACCCAGGATTCTAACTGGCTTGACAGTTTCATGTGTGTAGGTGCTATTGTAGCATATACAATAGGCTATATAATACATAATATAAGACAGATAATATATATCAATAACATATTTAATATACCATATAATAAATATGATACAATATAACATAATACAATATAATACATGTTTCACATTTCTTCTGTATCCCCCTTCGCACCTAACACCTAAGGATAGAATAGGGTGTATATTGTAGGGGCACATATGTGCTGAAGGAAGTCTAATGATACAGACATTTTGTGGGAAGATCATGGTATAGAGTTGGGAAAGAACTTTCATCTCCTTCTGCTCACAAAGGGGACAGGCACCTGATCTCTAGAATTCAGCACCTATTGCAGTATAAATTCATATTTGTACATCTGATCGTGTATCCAATGTGCACAGCCAGCAGAGGAGAAAGTCTGCCTTAGCACATACCGAAAATGTGCTTAAAAAGCTCTCTAAAGCATTTGTTATGGAACAGAACACTGTGGAAAGACAGTCCTTTATTTAGATCTCATTTGTGCATGAAAATCGATATGTCCTTTCCAGTCCTTATCTTACAAGAAAATGTGTCTCTAACTATTGTCCCAAAGTCTTCTCCTCCCAGTCTTGCCTTGTCAGCTATATGTAACTATGACTTATCTAGCACCCCCAAAACATACTGCACACATCAAGTGTTAATTTAGGAAAACTGTCCAGCTCTCCAATATGTCTGCACAGCCTGTTTTCAAGAACTATTCTAGTTCTCGCCTCCCACCATCCATGGCAGAGTGTGAATAGCTTGTTTCTGGGTCTCTACCATAAGACAATGATGCTCTATCCCACTTCCTATCTTTTAAGTTCACCTTTCCTCTGCCTCCAGGACAGAATATCTTCTACTACATACAGTTGCTTTGATCTATACTATTCCTCCTGTACTTTAAAAAGGGGTTTAAAGTATTTGAAAATGTTGCCAAATCCTTACTTTCACATAAATATAAAGAGTATTAAAACAGTCACTGGCATCATTGTTCTTAATTTTTCCATTCTGGTAAACAAGAAACAAATACTGCCCTCCATGGCTGGAAAACAGAGTCACAGAAATAACTTTGGGAAGGCCAGCCTGATGGGGGTGGGGGGCCAGTGGTTTGAGGTGAACTAAGCTGGAAGGACCTTCCCCATTAACAGCTAATCCAGACAGTTCCCACAGGACAGATCATTTCTTGCCAGGTTGGTACAAGATTAAAACAAGGTTTGCGATGATGTAAGAGTTTCATCTTACACATTCATGAGCTACAACTGTTTACTAACATGCATTTTGGGCGAAAAAAATACATGCACACTGAGTATCATGAACTGTTAAATTTCAGTCTCACGTTTAAACAAGGCAGTTTAAAACTCTGCCCAGAACTGCCCATAAGGGGAAGTGGTCTACATTTACTTTGAAATGCAAATTACTACAAATTTCTTAACAAACTAGCATACAATATCTCTTACATGTTAAAAAAAATCCAGAAAATTATAGATGTCTTGGACACTGATTTTCTAACATTGCCCATTTTCTATTTTTATGCTGGCCACACATCTCTCACCAAACATTCCAGTTCACATTCACACAATGCAATACTTCTGCTAGAGGGGCTTCACTGGACTAAGAGCAAGTGGGAAGCTCAACTAAACCAAGGTCTCAGTGCCTCAGACAGAAGCAGCTGCTATGTAAGAGCAGTGGTGGTCTCGAAATACTAAACACATTCTCAGTGTCCTTCCTACACTCCAGTGATATTTACTATAGCCCTGAGAAAACCCTGGAGAGAACACTGGTGTGGCAAAGTCTAAAGCTAAATAAGCCCCTCTTTGGAGAGGACTGAGCCTGGGGAGGGAGAAAAGGGAATTTTCAAAAGCTCTTTGCTTCTCTGGCTAAACTTCGGTTCCTTAGTTGGCTTTAGTCTGTTTCCAAACCAAGCTGGGGAAAAGCTGAGGTCTGCCAGAAGGAACATCTGGGATTAGGGCACTATTCTCATAGATAGATATTTCTTTGTGGAAGACATAGAGACAACTAGCAAGGCAGAAGAGCAAAGACCTACCAGCAAACCTTGAATGAGGTGGGTCCTCCCAAGCTGACTTGGTGACAGGTCAGCGGCCTTACCTTCCATCCGCCACCCCCGCCACCACTACCCTAATGAGGGTGACAGCTTCCATCCGCCACCCCTACCCTAATGAGGCTGACAGCTCTAAGGGTGGGAGAAGGAAGCTCGAGTCTTTTTAGGGGGAGGGATGCTCTTTCGCTATGAATACTGGGACAAGAGTTTGGGTGCAAACTAGGAAAGACCATGGTGCCCCTTAGAGTTGGGAGGCAGTGTCACTGCGGAGAACAGCAAAAAGCTCTCTCTTCACACCCAAGTAAATGCATTTCGTTTGGGGGACTGAAGGCGATTAAGCCGAGTACACACAGGCTAGCATCACTTTAGGGACTTCTATTCTCGGCTTCCTCGGGCTTGGACCTCGGTTTGCATGGAGAGAGACTGAGGGAAGAATGGAAACCTACGAGTTGAAAAGGGCTCAGGAGAAGGACGTGGGGCTGGAGCTGGTAGCGGGCCTTACCTTGCTGACCACGTTTTGGAGGAGGCCTGTGCGGATGCCATAGTCCCACGCGTGGCAGTCGCAGTTGGAAGTGTTGTCCCCCTTGTCCGGAGGGGGCGAGAGGGTTGGCGTGTCGCCCCTCTCCGCGCCGCTGCTGTTGCTAAGGTTGCCCACGGTCCCCCAGGCGGCAGTGGAGAAGGGGGTGGTCGGGGGGCTGGTCCAGTTGGCCACGTCGCTAGCTCCCCACCGACTGGTGGCAGTGACCCCAGCCAGCTCAGCGCCTTTGCCGGCCTCGCGACACCAGAAGTTCGGCTGGTCCAAGAGAAAGGAGTCCGAGAATTGGCTGAAACCGATGAATAACGCTGGGATCCAGGTGAGCAACACGAGGGTCTTCTGGTAGCCCCCGCCAAGGCCCCCGAGAAAGGGCAGTACCGACCCGTCGTAGTCCAGCAACAAGAGGCTTGGGGCCGCCGCCGCCGAGCAGCAGCTCGGGTGCGGGCCTCCGCCGGAGGGATGCGGGGCGGGCAGCGGCTGGATCTCCCCACCGCTGCCTGGGCCCGCGCGTCCCCCGAGGGGCACCGAGGCCGCCGCGTCCCCGGGAGGCAGGGAGCCATTCTC